TATTTTTTTTTTTTTTATTCATGGCTCTTTTACTTACTCTTATGTAATATCAACACTGATGGACGTGACTATTGCTATGCAAGAATAGCTTTAGCTCTTTTTGTTCTATTAACTGCGGTAGTAGTATTTTTTGAAGATAGAGGTTGAAAAGGTGAAACAGGCCCTTTTAGAAACTCCTCTGTGTTCTTAATCCATTTTATGGTTAATAATCAGCTTCTCAATAGGAGTTTTTTCCCCGAGGGTCATTATCACACATTGATTAGTGGCATGTTAAAGCAATTTAGCATTTCTTCATATTCTGTAAGCTAAAGCCCTGCCGCTTGCCCGGGGTCTCAATATTAGCTTGGTTTAACATCACAGAGTGTTTTTTCATCAGCTTTCCCAGCAGGCTATTGTAGCGGCAGTGAAACAGAGGTCACATCCTCACTGGCCATACATCACACCGCTAATGGTGCTATTAGCATCGCCTGCGCCATCGCTCCCCAAATGAGAAATATGCATTGTTTGGCTCAAATGTGCATAATGATAAGCGCCTAAATGATTTGCGGCATTAACTTTGAATGACATTGTCTGCATTGTTATAGGAGGGGTTTTGTCACCTGCAGCGTGCTGAGTTATGCTGATATTATTTTTCAGTATTAAAGAAGAAAAATGTGAATATTCTGTGATAACTATTGCTTGATCAATTACTTTACAATTTACAGCGATAAGGAAAAATGTAAATCAACTTATACTCTTAATTTTGAGACATATTATATTATATTATATTATAGTTGTCAGTATTAAAGAAGAAAAATACTAATTAAGGAGTGAAATGGGAAGGATTTTGTTTATTTATTTTGTATTTATGTTTTTTTGTAATAAAGAAAATTTTGAATTTTCAGTACAATTATTACTTAATTACTTTTTTACAGTGTTGTGGTAAAAATCCAATTGCACTCTTAATTGTAAGAAAAAATACATATATTATATTATATTATATTATATTATATTATATTATATTATATTATTTTATATTATATTATATTATATTATATTATATTATATTATATTATATTATATTATATTATATTATATTATATTATATTATAATATATATATATATATATATATATATATATATATATATATATATTATACACACACACACATACATATACAGTGTGTAATACACATACATATACAGTGGTAAAAATCCAATTGCACTCTTAATTCTAAGAAATACATATATTTATATTATATTATATTATATTATATTATATTATATTATATTATATTATATTTTGTACTGTACAATTATTACTTAATTAAACATTACAGCAAGGAAAACCCCATATCAACTTGCTCACTTCATTCTGAGAATATTATATTTGATTTTATATATATATATATTAGTACATACACACACACACACACACACACATATATATATATATAGACACACACACACACACACACAATTATTATTATTATGTAAAATTACATATTATATTATCTTATATTATAATAATTTTTCAACATTGAAAAATTGTACATTTTCTTTTCTTTCTTTCATTTACTTAAATAATTATCACTCAATTACTATAATATTTACAGTATTAAGGTAAAAATCCCAATCAAATTGCACTTTAAATTCTGAGACGGAAAAAAAAAACGTACATACATGCACACATATATTATTCAGTATTAAAGTATTTTCAGATGTGCATAATGATCAGTTTTAACTTTGAATGACATTGGCTGTATTGTTATGGGAGCGATTTAGTCACCTGCGACATGCTGAGTTCATTCAGCGGCTGACTGCTCTGTTATTTTCCATTCAGCTGCAGATGTTTGATGAAGGCAAGCTGCCGTTTGTCCCGTCAGGTGTTTTGGGGGTTAAAATGGGCCGCCCCGTGTGAGGGATGAGTGTGGCTTTGGGATATGTGCCATTTACGCGGGGGTCAGAGTGCAGGGAAGCGAAAGAGTGCGAGCGAGCAGAGTTTACCATAATTGAGCTGTCAGTATTCTGCTGTGTCGCCGCACCTCAGGTTGCCACAGAAATGAGAAAAACATTTTTATAAAAATGTTATTTTCCACTACAGACCTCTATTATTTATTTCATTCCCTTCCCTTGTCTCTGTCAGACTGGTTCTGATGGGGTTAATAAAATAGGGGTCCGGGGTCTCGACTTCTACATTACAAACTCTGTTTTTTTAGCCAAGGACAAAACAGCGTCTTGGATTCGCAACTGGCCTCCTTCAATCGATGTATCCATGTCAATAGGTTTACCCAGCGCTCCATTCTTTACTCTATACAAAAGCATATCTCCGTTCTTCGCATTCGTCCCCGAGCTGAGTGACCTACATGCCAGTCAGAGCGATTTGCTAAGAAAGCCGAGTTGTTTGGATGGCTCACCATCTCATTGTCTCTCAGTAAATGTATTTTTTCAGTAAATCCCTCCTTTCAGAGGCAGGATATGAAATCATAGTGAAATGTGAAGGAGTGTCAGTGTCAGGCTGAGGAAAATCCCCATCTAATGAACTTGTGCACCCGTGGCCACCTGTCTTACGTCTTTAAGCTCAACACACACATCGACTCCTTAATGCTAATGCTGTGACTTACAACAGACTCTTTCAGAGGAAACAGAATGAGAGAGTGTCATGGCATGAGTGTTGAGTGTTGAGTAAATCCTTGCCAAACAATCAGAGGCAGCTGTAGCCTCAAATCTTTTCTGGAAAGTCCGGAATCTCAATAGTGTAGAAGAACATAATGGAAGCTATGCATGGAAGTAAAACTCTGTGTTTCTGTTTCTCTCCCTGTGTCCCAGCGCCCAGTGCTCCTCCTCAGCAGGTGACGGTCCTCACGGTGGGCAATCAGAACAGCACATCCATCAGTATCTCCTGGGACCCTCCTCCTGCAGAGCATCAGAATGGCATAATCCAGGAATATAAGGTAACTGCCACGTGACTCCATCAGAAACACCAACAAACACATGCAACTTAATAAATATCCAAATAGACTTGCACTCTTAATTCTCTTAATATATTATATTATATTATATTATATTATATTTACTGCTGGGCAACAATAAAATTTTTTAATTGCGATTAATCGCATTATGCACAAAATTCAATAATGAATTCAAAAGTAGTGTATTGTGCACTTTTTTCATTTAAAGTACTGCTATATGAACAAAAGTGCAATAACATTTGGTTTGCAAAAACTTTAAACAAATAAGGTGCTTTTTTACAGCAGTATTCCTTTTACATAGTAAAAAGCAGTTAAAACATTTCTTGTAAATCTCAACTTATAACATTAATGTAATCAAATTAAATATATAACCAAAGCTATTTGCCACTGCCAGGGCATTAACGTTATTATATTATATTATATCTTCATGGAACATGATCTTTACTTAATATCCTAATGATTTTTGGCATAAAAGAAAAATCAATAATTTTGACCCATACAATGTATTGTTGGCTATTGCTACAAATATACCTGTGCTACTTATGACTGCTTTTGTGCTCCAGGGTCACATTTGAGGATGTTTTAAGGGGTTAAACTCAATAAATAATATGTGTACAATAAGTCGTTTTGGATAGAAGCACCCACCAGATGACTGTTTACGTTTTTTTTTGTTTTTTTTACTTTTGTTCAAAATGGGCCTCATTTATGAAACACAAGCAGAACAAATTTCTCTATAAATTGTCTGTAAATCCCTTCATGCATAAATAGCTGTACTGAATTGAATGCAACAATTTACATAAAAATGGTTTTGCGAGTAGTTCACACAAAAATCGTTTTCGTTAATGAGGCCCAATCATTAAAAATGACTTTTTACAGACAATTTGCTATTTTCTCTCTCTCTCTCAGATCTGGTGTTTAGGGAACGAGAGCCGTTTCCATGTAAATAAGACGGTGGATGCAGCCATCCGCTCAGTGGTGGTGGGGGGTCTCCAGGCGGGGGTCCAGTACCGAGTGGAGGTGGCCGCCAGCACCAGCGCTGGGGTGGGGGTGAAGAGCGAACCACAAACCATCATTATTGGTACGGGACATCTTTTGGTTTCGATAACCTTTCCTGTCACACTGCATCTGCCTTTTATCTGTGATGGGCAGAAATATCTTAAAGTGGGGTCACCAGAATCAAAATTAAATCTCACGGTCAGCGACGCAGATTTTTTTTCCAGGTCTTTGGGTGTTTACAGTGTGAGTTATGTGAGTTTTAGCAGGTTGTGACTGGTTTGACCCATAAGTGATGATTTGGCCAGTGACATGCCCTTATTCCAAAATGTCAAGCTCACTATCCATCTTCACGCACAGCCAGGAGCTGATAGACTATTTATCAAGATTGCAGTTTGTGTGTATGTGTGTGTCCTACCAGCTTTTGAAGTAAAAAAAAAAGGCTGATTTAGCTACAAGACAACAAATATCCCTAGGTTATTGTAAATAGTTAATGTGCTCATCACTTCAAAAGGGAAAAAAGTTTGTTTTTAGAACATTTTATCAACTTTCTCTGATTTTTATTTTATTTTTTTTGCTGAGGTGGGACATGTGGGCAGGGTTAAATAATATTAACCAATAATCTTTATAGTCTAACATGATTCCATCCAATCAAATCCAAAAGGATAATAATAGGTACTGTAAATACTGTTTTGTGTTTTTATATAGCATTTTGTGTTATTTAGTATGTATATTTTTGCTTGTGGGCGGAGTTATGATTCCATCCGATCCAATTTGAAAGGATGAAAAACAAGTCTCACCTTTCATTATTTTTGCCAAATATTGAAATAATGTCACATTAAGGAAATTAAATGTGCTGTAAATGCGGTTTAGTGTTATTTATGCAACATTTTGTGTTCTTTATTTCAGTTTCTTATTTTATATTTTTGCTGAGGTGGGACATGTGGGCTATATTAAGTAATATTAACCAAGTCTCATCTGACATTATTACTGATGAATATTGAATTCATATCAAAATTAAATGTACTGTAAATACAGTTTTGTGTTATTTATACACATTTTGTGTTATTTGGTTTAATGTTTTGTTATATATTTTTTTGCTGAAGTGGGAATGTGGCCAGGTTTAAGTAATATTAACCAATAATATAAGTCTAACATGATTCCATCCAATCAAATCCTAAACGATAATAAAAGTCATAAATAAATGTAAGTCTCATCTTACATTATTACTGATGAATATTGAAATAATATCACATTAAGGAAAGTAAATGTGCAGTAAATACTGTTTTGTGTTATTTGTACAACATTTTGTGTTAGTTATTTTAGTTTTTTATTTGATGTTTTTGCTGAGGTGGGACATATGGGCAGGGTTAAGTAATATTAGCCAATACTATTTATAGTTTAACATGATTCCATCCATTCAAATCTTAAAAGATAATAAAATCTCACATTATTTCTGATGAATGTTGAAATATCACATTAAGGAAATTAAATGTGCTATAAAAACTGTTCCGTGTTATTTTGTGTTTTCGTTTTTTTCTGTTCTGTTCACTGAAGTAACGCTAAAGATCAAGGTGATGTGCTTTTAACGCTCTAGTTGAGTTGATTAAATTCTGCTCTGATGTTCACTGGAGCACAAATGTTTTTCTCGTGCTATTAAACTAATTTAGAAACTCACCCACAATTTTCAGTTTACCAAATAGCGGTTTTCTCTTGCGTGTGTGTGTGTCCATGTAGGTAAAGACTTCCGGGATGTGATCATGAGCAGGAACAACAGCATCACGGAGCAGATCACGGACGTGGTGAAGCAGCCGGCCTTCATCGCGGGCATCGGAGGGGCCTGCTGGGTTATTCTGATGGGCTTCAGCATCTGGCTCTACTGGAGGAGAAAGAAGAGAAAGGGTCTCAGCAATTACGCAGGTAGAGACCAGATCCGCTTGAGCTACACACAGCGGCAATTGTTTTCAGATGGCACAGGAAGCACAGCTTCCCCTAAATGCGTGTTTAGTACAAATAATACAAATATTGTTAGTATTTTAGCAAATTAAACCATGACCCATAGAGCCCGCGCTTTACTGGTCTATTTATTTTAATAAAGCAACGAGTGATGTTCATTGGATAAGAGGCTCTAAAGTACCGTTTTGTGTCCTTATTTGTATTTTTAAAGCTTTTGAATGGGACATATTCTGCTTTCAATCAATGTGTTTTTGTCCCAGCTTTCGCTATATGATGATTTGTTCAAGCTCGTAAATGGACAGGACTTTGCTGCAAATGGCCAATAATTGAAAAATGAACCCTTGTGCTGTGTTGAAAATTCTTTATCTAATTTAGTGTGCTCACCTTTTAAAAATGTCTTGTAATTCTCTCGTTATGCTATATTATCACCAAATCTTGGATTCAGTCTTTAATAACAGCATGTTTTCTTTCAATTAGGACAGGTTTTGTATTTCTTTTTGGAACTGACTGCTTGTAGGCTTCATTGATCTAAGCTTATGCACCTCAGTTTTTAAGTAAAAAAAAAGCATTATTTGTGAATAGTTTTGGCAATATTCACACAAAATCGGAGGCGTATAAACTCATATCAATGAGGCTTATGATCAAAACCTGTGGTAATTGAAAGAAAACAAGTTGCTAAAAAGATTGAATCCGATATTTGGTAACGATATAGCATAATGGGAAATTTATATGCAGTTTTTTGGAGGCCAGTCATTTTTGATCAGGAACTCCACAAGTGTAACAATATCAAAAAAAAAAAAAAAGAAAAGAATTGTTGGGAGGTTGTTCCTTGTGTGAGCAAAGTCAGTAGTCCAATGTGATAAGAAAGTGTTTTTTTTTTCTTTCACTCTTTAGTAGTACTTAGAAGCAACATTGCAGATATTTAAAAAAAAATTATAATAAAGTACAACTTTTGCCATTGATAAGTGATATCTGTGCATCCCTACTATTTAAAAGCACCAGCCGCCACTGAAAAACACACTCTTTTGTTTTGTTTTTGTTTGCTTTTTACACTTTATTTTAATTGTGTTTGTGTGTCTCATTCCTTTGGCTGCTGTCTTGCTGTCTTGACTCTGATGGCATAACGCAAACCTTGCGCAAACACACTCCAGTATGCATGTGAATAATCATGCACACGCACAGAAACACACAAACCTTCCAAAGCCCGACTGAGCACTGCAGGCTTTTTAACACGCACTCTTCTCTGTCTTCTTGTTTTTGCAGTTCAGTCGTTCACCTTCACCCCTGCAGGTACTGTTCATTTGTCCCGTCTTTTCGAAACCTCCATCCCTTCTTCCTGCATTTATCTTACTTTCCTTTACACAATCAAGTATCCCTTCCCATGATTCAACCTCACAGGTCTTCAGATGATGCCCACCTGACTTTGTCAGCACAGTATAGAGAGTAAATCTGGCTCTAAGGGTCTCAAACACAAATTATGGACAGATCTAGACGGTCTAAAATTGTTATTTGCAGATACAGGATAACATTCAAGGTCAAACTAAAGTGCAAGTAGCGAGCATTGATTTGTTGACTGCGAATAAACACCATTTTTACATGTCTTTATGAATGCTAACAGCGTCCGGTGGAAGATCTGTGGGCTGCAAGATCCTGCAGTTCTCCATTTGTGTTTCTTTGTCCTTTTCTTCAGGTCATTTTTTCAGTGGTGGTCACCTGTGCTGATCTTTTTTGTGTGGTTTTTCCATCTCATCTTTATCTTTCTTTTATTCTCCTGTTCTCTCGTTTTGTTTGTGTGAATTGTTTTTGTTCTCTACCTGAGTTCTCCGCTCTTTGATTCATTCTTGTCTTTGTTATTAACCGCTTGAACAAACTTACATGTGAGAATTGATTGTTCCCTCCATTCGAGGTTGTCGACATGTTTTCTGAAGATTTTCTTGTTTCCCTCCTCTGATATACACTTCTATATGTTCTGTTTTAACCAGTATAGAAATTATAGACACAGATCTGGGTTTTAAAAACTTGGATTTGATCTGAATTGAATACTACCTTACTGAATACTATTTAGTACACACTGCATACTGTTTGTAATTATTTATATTATGTTATAGTCTTTCTAAAAAATGTTGTTTACTTTTATTTAAAATATTAGTAGTAAGCTAAGTTATATGTGACCCTGGACCACAAAACCAGTCGCACAGGCATATTTGTAGCAATAGCCAACATGATTGTATATACATTGTATGAGTCAAAATTATTGATTGATTTTTTTATGCCAAAAATCATTAGGATATTAAGTAAAGATCATGTTCCATCAAGATATTGTGTTAATTTCCTACCATAAATATATCAAAACTTAATTTTTGATTAGTAATATGCATTGCTAAGAACTTCATTAGGACAACTTTAAAGGCAATTTTCTCAATATTTAGATTTTTTTTGCACCCTCAGATTTCAGATTTTCAAATAGTTGTATCGCAGTCAAATATTGTCATATCCTAACAAACCATACATCAATGGAAATCTTATTTATTTATGTATAAATCTCAATTTAAAAAAATGGACCCTTATGACTGGTTTTGTGGTCCAGGGTCACATATATGATCATAAATAAATAATAATACAAAAATAAATAAAACAATTTATATGTTGTTAGGATATATATTAATGTATTATATTATCTTAAACAAAGTAAAATTTTAGTATTATATTTAATACATTTTTTGGATGATGTCTTAACATTTGGCATCAATTTGTAAGCAAAAAAGAGACATTGATATTAGATTATTGGATGCATTGCATTGAGGGATATTGTACCTAGTGAAGCTCGCATTGTTGTACCTTTAAGTAAATATAGTATTCATACTATATATTGTAGAAAATCGAAAGAATAGTATACCATTCCAAACACAGTCCATCAAATATCATCTCATTCTGAAATACGGTCACGCTGCCATTGATTTTCCACTTTATGTTCACAATATCAGAGAAATGTTTGTAATTCAATGGTTGGTTTGTCCGCAAGTTACATGATATATAGGAGATTCACAGGCCTACCAGAGGTTAACCAGTGATGACCTGATCCAGTCACACGATCGGCCACAATCACACTGTGAATTGATAACACAAAAAAGCAACAACAAAAAAATCATTCAGCAAGCCCAGGTTCCCTCCACATCTCTCGGGGATTGTGTGCGGATTGAGGTGTGCTTTTATCTTGTAGGAGGGTTTCGCTCCAAACTTCATTACCGATGAAATCAGTCTCCCTGCAAAAGCGGACACCGCCGCACTCCACTTTTCCCCAAGATAAGAGCGTACCAGTCAGCTGTTCGAGTCTTATGGCCTCGATATCCCTCGACTTCATTTTAATGCACTCCAGTCGTCTCTCCTCACCACTGCTTGAGTGGGCTTCAAGGTTGCCGGCTCCCAGGGGCCCACATCTTTCTTGGTTTCTTGGTCCCATGTGCCGAGCAGATAAGTGTGGCGTTCAGACGCATTACCGGCATGCCAGACCCCATATGCTTGACGCTCATGAAGGCAGTGGCCCATGCTAGCGAGGGCAGCTTCTTGCGCCGAGTGAAAATCGTTGGTTTATTCTTGTTTCCTGGAGACAAATTGTCTTTGTCTCATTATCACGGTTCACTGCAAATCATGTGAACGTTTCAGGGCTTACAGAACAAAGAAAGACAGCCGATTCTGCAACGTTTTTTTTTTATATGTTTAATCGGCAGTTGGGTGTAAGAGGTAAAAGCGAATACACCTGTTCACACAAACACCCACTTTCCTCCTTTAAACCTGTCATCGCCGCGAGGTTAAATCAAGTTGTGCTTGGACGGGAAGGAAGGATTTGATGGAATTTTTATACGGGTGATTTTGTCGTGCCGCAGTAAATGCTTATTAAATAGGAGTAATCAGTTTTCATATTGGAGAGAGTGCTTATCTGGAGCTCAGCCTAAAGCCGAGACCAGCGCCAGTCTACGGGCCACATCAAAGCGCCAGCAATGTGTCCTATTGTAGATAGGCACTTAACAGACCCGCACACACACATAGCGCCACATAAATGGGTACCTTGGGGAGAGAAAATACCTTCAGTGTTTGTTCTCAATTTACTGAAATGCCAGATTCCGGAATTAGCAGCGAATGCAAATAAACCCAACAAACAGCGGGCCCAGGGTAATGTTTGGACTGTCTGTTTGACAGAAGAGGTGATGGATTGTTAACAGTGGAGAGAAAATGTCACTGATCTAATTCAGATTCTCTGCAGGGTGTGTAAACGGACCAGGAGTCACTCTGGATTAGTTTATGTGATGTTTGTTAAATAAGTGTGCATGCTTGAACATTTCTTCATTCATTTACTCACCTTCATGTCTTTATTCTGTGGAACACAAAAGAAGATTTAAAAAGAAATGCATCAGTGTTTTTTCATACAAAAAGGCCAATGGGGTTCAGTATAGTTTTAAACCCCATTGACATTCACTAAATGGACAAAAGTGTTTTCAAATACACGCCTGATTTAGTCTCCTTTTCATCAGTAATCCATCGTTCTGTTTGCACACTTTTTGTGTAAATCACTTTCTTTTGGCAAGAATATTGAGGCAAAACCCAGAGAAAATAGGAAGTTATGGAGATAAAATGACAAAGATGCTTTAATTTCATAAATTAATTCTGCATGTTTATTTACAGCGTGCTCTAAACAATTCAGTCACTCATGAAAGATTACTATGACACATACTGGAGACGTCTTCATTTCTTAATCAGTTCCAGCTGTTTAATTTGGAATCGTGTTTAAAAAATTGTGAATTATGATGGAAATGATGCTTAAGAGAGTGATTTTGCTATGATGACTCAGTCTCTTTCTCTCTCGCTCTTTGTTTTCTACCCTCTTTCTGACCCCAGTGACATTCCAGCGTGTTGATGGAGGCTTGATGAGCAACGGGAGGTAAGATTCCTGTCATCCGCTCTCTCGTTCCCCTTGTTTTTCCTCGGCATGCCACAAAACAGTGCTAGTTATTATCTTTGTGCCAATCACCTGCCTTTAACCTTCAAAGACCAGCCCCTCAATTCCAAACCTCATTCATATTCTGTCCATCATCTCCTGGAAGGTCATCAAAACCATTATCCTCTACAAGGCAGTCGTCTTCCAGCGCATACTCCGCTTTTAAGGGTTCGTGCCATCGCTGCACTGTTAGAAATTCATCTTAAGAGACTCTGAGGACGGGAGTTATTGAAAGGTTGTTCCTATAGGTTTCTGTGAGGGTTCTTGCGACACACAACCGATTCTTATGGGTCAACAGCTTGATTAACCTTCTAAAAGTCACAGTAGAATCCATCAATGCGGAACAGTTCTTTGCATAACCATTAAAACATGGTTCTTTCAAATATAAATAAATAATTCAACCAGACGTATTGTTGATTCGCACCACTTTGTGGGTGTTCAGTGACCCCAGTGGAATCTGTGATGAAGACAATATTTTATATTTTATAATATATCATTTGGTTATTTTTTTTATATAAATTCTAATATACTATAATTAATAATAATAAATATATATTATGTTGATTTAATAAAAAAATGTAGATAACTGAAATTAATTAATTAATTATATTACATTAAAATAGATTATGTACTTGGATTTTTGTATAAATTATAACATAACATATAATATAATATAATATAATACACACATTCTGTATATATTTTGAAAATATTTACATTTATATACATTTATATATCTATATTATTATATTTTATATTATATATAAATATAGTTAATATATAAACATAACATATTTTTCTTAAATATATACATGCATGTGTTTGTATTTACATATACATAATAAATATACACAGTACACACTCATATATTATGTAAACAAATATATATATATATATATTTTGGATGCGATTAATCATTTGACAGCACTAATTTATATCAATATTTTTAGTTAACATAATATATAATATGTTGATTTAATTAAAAAATGTGGATAACTGAAATTAAATGTATTATATTACATTAAAATGCATGATATACTTGGATTTTTGTATAAATTATAATAATATAATATAATATAATTGCATTTATGTAATTATTTTAAGTTAACATAATATAGAATATTATGATTTAATTAAAAAATTTAGAAAACTGAAATTAAATGTTACATCAAAATAATAACAAACTTATAATATCTACATCACCTAATAATAATAATTTAATAATAATCTATCATTATACAACATTTTAATTTAAATTCTAATTAAATTCTAATATAATATTATAATGTAATAGATTTAGATTATAGATAGATTTTATGTGCATTCTTGTATGTATCGTTACCCATGAGCACCCAGTTTTATCAACAGATCAAACTACAGCATGCACCCACAGCAAGTGTGCGTTTATACATCAAGCTCGCTCTGATATCACCATATGACTGATGGATGAAAATATGAGATCTGCCTGTTTGTGTACCCTGCATCCTGTCAAACACACACATACTGTACGTACACACACAAATCTCCGCACATCTCCCTTCACGGACGGCTAGCCGCTCATAAATCTCACCCCCCAAAAAGAATTAGCTGGAACAATTTAAGCAGAGAGGGGTTTTATTTTATCATTTGTCAGCCCCCCTTCGTCCCTGCTGCCTGTACGGACCCCCGCAGTGATAAATTTGCCTGTCACCTCAGCTGGGCGGCTGGAATATGAGCATGTGTAATAATGTAAAAATAATTACCCCAGGGAGAGGCAAGACTAACCCTTCTGGAATCTTTCGGCAGGCCTCGGTTTTTTTAGGGGGTGGAAAGGAGAGTAAGGGTTCGTTTGAATGACACCAGTTACCTGCTGGACAGAAGTGGAAGGTCTGTCTCTTTGGTGTCTTTTATCACACCTGACAGGCCAAATCCAGTTTTTCTGTTTTAATTCCACACACCCACACCTCTTCTCATTGTCTCTGCTGCTGTATCAATAGATTGAAGGTGTTTGAGTGGCTGGAATTAAAGCCGCAGCAGTGTCACCTGATTCCCCTGCAGGAAGTCGAGTTCTGCTGATTGATTTGAAGATTCTATTCCAGATCCCATGGGTCTCCTATCTAATCAAAGAGGACGTCCAATTGTATTTTTTTGTAATAGTGATACCTTGTCTTTAGCTGTATAACACCCTAGAGATCAGAGATAAGCACTTAACTCTTTAGATCTGAATTAAGACAGACATTATTGCAAACAGTATGAGGTCTGTGTATAAAATGCATTATAAAGCTATTCAAAATGCCTTATTCTTCTCAATTTAAGCCTAATATATTATATTATGTTATGTTATGTTATGTTATGTTATGTTATGTTATGTTATGTTATGTTATGTTATGTTATGTTATGTTATGTTATGTTATGTTATATTTGGTGCATTATGAATGCATCAAGGATACCTTTTACAATATTTTCAATATGGTAAAAAATTTACATTCTAGCATGTTTTATTGATTTGATGAAATTAATAATTTTTTGTAAAAAAAAATAAAATACTGATATTTTAACCCATTTAAACTAATAATAATAATAATTTTATCAACACATAATAATCATAATAATTATATCTGTAATGTTAATTTTTTTTTATATATTTTGTAAATATTTACGAATTTTATATAAAAAATATTAATGTCACAAATTTTTGTTTACACGCTATTTTACTGAACAAATTCAGATTTATATTGGAATATTATATGTAAATAATAACAGAATGCAATGCAGTGACAGTGAACATGTTTCACATCTTAACTGTTACTGTATTGTATATTTTATATTGTGTATTGAGCAGTCAACATCCAGGACTGTAATAGAATGCATTATATACAGTATACATGTTTCGTTTTATTGAAATCTTCTGCACGTTTAGGTGGGTTTATGCTGTGAATGGTGCTCTACATGCATCGGAACACTTGATCTGTCTTCTGCAGTGAATCCCCGTGACTAAAGTTCTTGGAGAGATAATGAGAGAATGTGTTCATTTGTTACAGTCTTTGTTTATTGCATTAATTAGACGAAAGCAAATGAAGCCGCGTCTGTTCCTGCAGCTCCTCATTGGCTGCTGCCAAATTGCTCGTACTGAACAATTACGCTTAATCGATCACAGAATAAATGATTCATGGAAGATGAATAGGCGGCATATTGGTCAGGCCTTGAACTAGAAACTGATAATGGCAGATTGTTTTTTCTTACACGCTTTCATTTTCTTGCACTGTTTTTCTTAATTCATTTTTTACTTTCATTTCTTTATGTACCGCCTTGCTTGTTTTTCTTTCTTTCTTGACTTCCATGACATATACTGTGTATGGTTTGTTAGAGTTCGGCTAATGCATGTTTCTGGTGATGGATACAAATTCTGGCTTCCCAATACATTACAACAAGAGTGATGAGAGAAAAAAAACAATACATGGACAAACCAGTCACTCTTTGTTCAATGCGAGTGCTGTATGCTGAAATAACTGTCATTTATGCCGTCATCACGTGTTGATAGTGTAGGTGAGACCTGAACAGCACACGTTGCTATCTGTGTTTAAACTAAACTCATTTAAGCCTTGCCAGTTTAAATATTAAAGAGCCAGAAGACCTGAACTCGCACAGTAAGAAGATCTGTGTGGTCGCTCATCCAAAGCGCGTGAACCCGCGTCTCAGAATGCGTGCAAATATTAAGCTCTCTGTGAAGTATTGTGTTTGAATGGACAAATTCACACAAAAATTATGTCAAAATGCCCGTCTTGGTGAGTATCCTAGCAGACATTAGTCGGCTGAACGTACAGTATCAGTGCACTGGATTTGTATGCTGAAATAACTGTCATTTATGCCGTCATCACGTGTTGATAGTGTAGGTGAGACCTGAACAGCACACGTTGCTATCTGTGTTTAAACTAAACTCATTTAAGCCTTGCCAGTTTAAATATTAAAGAGCCAGAAGACCTGAACTCGCACAGTAAGAAGATCTGTGTGGTCGCTCATCCAAAGCGCGTGAACCCGCGTCTCAGAATGCGTGCAAATATTAAGCTCTCTGTGAAGTATTGTGTTTGAATGGACAAATTCACACAAAAATTATGTCAAAATGCCCGTCTTGGTGAGTATCCTAGCAGACATTAGTCGGCTGAACGTACAGTATCAGTGCACTGGATTAGTGTGTTCTCTTAAAGTGACAGCACTTTCTTAATGTTAATCAAACAGTAACAACACGGAAATCTCTCACTGCTCTATATATATATATATATATATATATATATAGTATATACAGTCAACAAGTTGTGTGTACCATTACCCACCTTCTGTCCTTTTTTGCAAGACACTTTATTCCTTTCCTTCCTTTCTTTCAGATCTATGTGTTTATATGAACATATTTGTTTATATATTAGATTTTCACTGTGCTCAAAGTAAGCAGCAGCATCCTCCAGCCAATGTAAATCTGAAAAGCAAATGCGTGTTTCGGCATGCCTTAAGCGTAATTTAATGTGCAGGCTTTTAGTTGGGTCTCTCTGGCGCTCGCTCTTTCTGCGGCTGTATTGGAGGGCATGTGGGCTTGTAAAGCCCGGCTGATTTATGAAGTAGGATTGGGATTAATATTGCTCACTCGGCTTCTTTACGACGATGCTCACAGACGCACTGCGAGGTTGTATTTCACAGTTGTGCGCGTGTCTAGGAGCATGGCAGGGAAAAATGAGCCAAATCAAATCTCTGTGGTCTCAAGGCCACAGTGCGCTCTCGCTGTCTGAGGAGAGGGATTCGGGGCTGGGTGTCAGGGATGGGATGAGGCCCCTGGCCCCGCTCCCGGTGATTTGCAGAGCAGAGATATGCCAGCTAAAACGATATTTCTCAATCTAATCACCTCGCACGGGATAAGATGAATGCAAGGACAGAGCCGCCGTTACCACAGTCAACATCATCATCACCCACACTTA